TTTAGTAGAGATGGGGTTTCACCATGTTGACCAGGATGGTCTTGATCTCTTGACCTCGTGATCCACCCGCCTCGGCCTCCCAAAGTGCTGGGATTACAGGCTTGAGCCACCACGCCCGGCCTGAGAAAACAGTCTTAAGGAAGTTAAGCTAATTACTTAAACGTTAACCCAGTCTGACTTCAGTCCCGACTCTGATCCATCACACAGCCTCCTAGTATTTCCTATCTCTTTCCTCTCATGTTAAATCTAAACTGTTGTTTTATTACCATTAAGCTAGATTTTGTTATTAGTTCAAAACCAGCTGTAGTTAATTTCTCTTTTGTTTGTTTTTGGCACAGGGTTTCACTCTGTCACCTAGGCTGGGGGGCAGCGGTTCAATCACAGCTCACTGTAGCCTCCACCCCCCAGGCTCAAGCGATCCTCCCAAGTATTAGAGACTACATGCACACTGCCCCTACCACCAGCTAATTTTTATTTTGTTTTATAGAGATGGGGGCACACTTTGGTGCCCAGGCTGCATCTGTGGCTGTTGATACTGGGCCCATACCTTTGAACAGTGAGCACAGATAACAAGAATACCTGCCGACTTGGCCCAAGCAGCTTGATTTTCCTCAGGTGTCCCAAAGATATTAGAGGCCATTTTGTTCTTCCTCACAGGTTGTTCTGTTGGTTCATCAAAACCTAATGAAAAATTGGATCCACCACCTGGAGGCCGCAAAACCCTACAAATAATGGCAAAACATCAACTTCAGATCATACTGCAACATTTCTTGGCATAAATCTTTTCAGACAACTTTCATTTCACTTTCCTCACCCATTCATTTCCCTCACCCCTACAACAGACAGCTGCTAACAGGAAAAAGGAATCAACTTCATCAGCGTGTACATTCAATGCTGGATGTGAAGATACTAAATACTGCTTTATAATGCTTGTAATGCGGTCATGGATAACACGAGGCAGCTGAAACAGCGTGGAACTCATCACAATTAACAGCCTGGTTGGCGTCACCTTTTCAGAAATGGCAAAAGACCTACTGGACCTTACTCTACTGGGCTTGGCAGAATATATTTGCAAGGAAGTTTAGAAACATTTCTTGTTTCTATTCATTTAAAAATCACTTCCAGGCACTGGAACACACCTGTAATCCCAGCGCTCTAGGAGGCCAAGGCAGGATCATCACTTGAGCCTAGGAGTTCAAGACCAGCCTGGGCAAAATGGCAAGACCCCATCTCTATAAAAAAAAAAAAAAATTAAAAATTAGCCAAGCGTGGTGACGCATGCCTGTGGTCCCAGCTACATCAGAGTCTGAGACAGAAGGATCGCTTCAGCCCAGGAGGTCAAGACTGCAGTGAGCTGTGCTCACACCACTGAACTCCAGCCTGTGTGACAGAGCAAAACTGTATCAAAATGCAAAAAGTAAATAAAATTTTAAAAATCACTTCTTTATTTTTAACTACATAAATAACTTGGGCTGGGTCAGTGGCAGGCCCCTGTTGTCCCAGCCATTCTAGAAGCTGAGGCAGGAGGATTGCTTGAGCCCAGGAGTTCAAGGCCAGCCTAGGCAACATAGTGAGATCCCCGTCTCTAAATTACTTACTTACTTACACACACACACACACACACACACACTCTCTCTCTCTCTCTCTCTCTCTCTCTCTCTCTCTCTGTCTCTCTCCCTCTCTCTCTCTCTTTCTCAAGTTGGCTGGACCAATTTAGAAGCCCAAGAAGAGCTGATAATAGTCTCTTTGATCTCAGCCTCACTAATAAGCCTTGTACCTCACCATTCTCACAGTAAACATGAGTGACTAGCCATTAGGGCAAAGTCAGTATGAGAAATTAAGTATAAGGTTCCACATCATGGTCTGTGTTCCTTTGGACATCATCTATAGCTTTTTGTTCAACATGGAAATACATTTTTTAACATTTCCAAATCTTCCTGCCATAGGTTGACCAATTTGTCTCCTTGGAAAACTCAATTTAACTCCTCTTGCCACCTCTCAAAACAGAAAATCCAGGTGGTTTTATGGGAATACTTTTTGAGATGGAGTCTTGCCTCTTATCGCCCAGGCTGGAGTGCAGTGGTGAAATCTTGGCTCACTGCAACCTCCGCCTCCCAGGTTCAAGCAATCCTGCTTCAGCCTCCAGAGTAGCTGGGATTACAGGCATGTGCCACCATGCCCAGCTAATTTTTTTGTGTGTATTTTTAGTAGAGACAGGTTTTTACCATGTTGGGTAGACTGGTCTGGAACTCCTGACCTCAGGCAGTCTGTTCACCTCAGCCTCTCAAAGTGCTGGGACTACAAGCGTGAGCCACCATGCCCAGCCTAATTTTTGTATTATTAGTAAAGACAGGGTTTTACCATGTTGGTCAGGCTGGTCTTGAACTCCTAACCTCAGGTGATCCACCCGCCGCCTCAGCACCCCAAAGTGCTGGGATTACAGGCGTGAGCCACCAAACCCAGCTGACTTTTTCTTTTAACTTTTTGTTTTCCTACTGCCTATGTAATTTACAGAATATGGGAAGACTTTTAACTACTGATTCGATTCCTTTATTGCTGATGAGTGGTCTAGTTTTGTTTCTTCATAAAGCAGTTTGAGTAAGAAACATTTTTCTTTTTTTTTGGGATGGAGTTTCACTCTTGTTGCCGAGGCTGGAGTGTAATGGCATGATCTCGGCTCACTGCAACCTCTGCCTCCTGGATTCAAGAGATTCTCCTGCCTCAGTCTCCAGAGGAGCTGGGATTACAGGCATGCGCCACCACACCCAGCTATTATTTTTGTATTTTTAGTAGAGACGGGGTTTTGCTATGTTGGCCAGGCTAGTCTCGAACTCCTGACCTCATGATCCGCCTGCCTCGGCCTCCCAAAGTGCTGGGATTACAGGTGTGAGCCACCACACTAGGCCATAACAAATATTTTTCTAAGAATATATAGAACTTCTAGCCAGGTGTGGTGGCGTTCACCTATAATCCCAGCTACTCAGGAGGCTGAGACAGGAGAATTGCTTGAACCCAGGAGGAAGAGGCTCTACAGTGAGCTGAGATAGTGCCTCTGCACTCCAGCCTGGGCAAAAGAGCAAGACTCTGTCTCAAAAAATAACAATAATAATAAAAATTAAATTAAGGCCGGACGAGGTGGCTCATGCCTGTAATCCCAACACTTTGGGAGGCTGTGGTGGGCAGATCACGAGGTTGAACATGGTGAAACCCGTCTCTACTAAACAAGTACAAAAATTAGCTAGGCGTGGTGGCACACAACTGTAATCCCAGTTACTGGGGAGGCTGAGACAGGAGAATCACTTGAACCCAGGAGGCGGAGGTTGCAGTGAGCTGAGATCCCGCCACTGCACTCCAGCCTGGCAACAGAGTGAGACTCTGTTCAAAAAATTCAATAAATAAATAAAAGGCCAGGTGAGGTGGCTCACGCCTGTAATCCCAACACTTTGGGAGGCTGAGGCGGGCAGATCACCTAAGGCTGGGAGTTTGAGACCAGCCTGACCAACATGGAGAAACCCCATCTCTACTAAAAATAAAAAATTAGCTAGGCGTGGTGGCACATGCCTGTAATCTCAGCTAGGGAGGCTGAGGCAGGAGAATCATTTGAACCTGGAAGCCGGAGGTTGTGGTCAGTGGAGATAGCAGCTTTTCACTCTAGCCTGGGCAACAAGAGCGAACTCCATCTCAAAAAAAAAAAAAAAAAAAAAAAATCAAGAAAAAGACACTAGTACCCAAACATCAGCTTAAGAGCAAGTCAAAACTCTAACCAGTCCAACTTTTTAAAGGTCTGTGTACCTCCTGCAATAGCAGGTACTAACCAACTCGGATGACGTCAGTGTTGTAGAGACCATTTGTAATAGCGACACATCCCCAAACAAAGGATGTAGATCATAAGGCAGAAAGTATCTCCGTGTTTTAGCATCCTACCATTCTTTCAGAACACACAACAACTAAATCAGGATTATATCTTTAAGACTGATCAAAAATGTGTCCAAGTACTATAGATAGCAATTTTTTAAAAATCACTCATTTTCTTTCTTCTCTTTAAATCTCGAAGTTTCTGAATATCTTTGCAGATCATTCCCTACCAGACTAAATTTATAACGAGTTTATGGAGGCAGAAGAACATTATTAGAGAAAATAGTTTATGAGAATTAGGTGAAATTATAGAAAACGAGAAGGTACAGAAACAATAAGATGACAATGCTACTACAGTCCCCAGAGCGCAGTGTTGGAAGGAAATTGATGACAAGAGGTGAACTAAAATATTTATTTCGCAGGATCAAAACTCATTTGTCTCACATTGCAAGTGTGAGGATTCATTTGACCTGATTACTGAAATTCTTAACAAAACCCTAATAGGAACTCAACCCCAAAGAATAAAACCCCAGATTACACAGTATCATTCCAACAATTGAAGTCTCATCGACCGTAAGTTGCCCTCGCAACATAAAATGAAAAGCCAAGGCTCAATCTGTTCCTGTCCTCTGAAAACATTATCTCACTAGAAAGATAACAGAAAGGGAGCGACCAGTTTTCCTAGGTCTATGCTACTCAAGTTCCCCGTCCTCTCAGTAATCACCAATTTATTTTTTTGAATCTTACCCAGTCTTTTTGACATTGTAAACCTGAAAGAAATGAGTTGCAAAGGAATGTCATTTCCCATGCCTTCCTCCTAAGGCTCAGTTGCTGAGTGAGGCGTGCTTTTTGTTCCCAAGTTCTCTAACCCCTGTTAGATATTGCTATTTCACGTGTCTTCTTAGCCCCACAAAATGGCTCCCTTTGTGCCACTTGGCCAAGACCCCGAGGCTAGCCACACATGAATGCAGGTCATAATCGATATAAATACATGCTCAATAAAGTGGAATCGAAGCTTCCTCCAAGCCTTGAGGAGGATCCCAGTTATGCCTGTAACCCACCTTAAAGAACAGTGTGCAATTAGCTGAGACAATGTGGACACACACCTTCCACAGAATCGAATCCCTTCCACCAAGTTAAGCAAGCACTTGCAAAAGGGTTCCTGTCCAAACACTGTGCCCAGTGCCTCAAGCCCAAAAAGCAGTGGGATGAAGGGCAAGAAAAATCCCCCGCTTCCCAGGTAGAAATACTATGTTAGAGACAATGGATGTCTCCGGCCCCGCCCAAGAACAAGAAACCTCCTCCTGCAAGGGAACCAGGGCCAGGGATGAACTCATTGGGCAAACGTCAAACGAGGAAGCGAAGAAGGTGAGATGCAAAGACCACGGTCCGAAGGTTTAAGCGCAGAAAACCCACTCGGGTTGGCTCGTTCCCCCTCCCTCTTAGAAATGGGCGCAGGGAGGGGGAGAAGGGGTCTTTCCTTTGTTAGGAAAGAGGAGGCACTTGGAAGAGGGGAGGCACTTCAAAGAGGGGACGAACGGTTGGGTCCTAAATGGGAGTAAAGGGTCGTAATAATCAGCCCCACCCGACCACAAATCCACCTGCCAGGTAGATCCGAATAAAGAGTGGGGGCACGGCGAGGGTAAGGAGCCGCCGGACCTGACCGATACGGTCTCCAGATCCGATCGCTGCGCCAGAGCGCGAGACCAGCCGCATGCCCTGCGTCAGGGGCAGAAGGAGCGCGTGGCCCGGCGATGGGACAATAGGGCCTGACCATGGGGCCCTAAAGGCTCCCAGGGCACCTGGGGGGGCAAGCCCACCATCCTGGGTATGGACCAACCTGCACGCACGCAGGAAAAAAGGGAAGTCCTCCCCGCAAGTTCCGATTAAACAAAACCGGCCGTGAACCGAGGGGCGACCAGCGCCGGCCTCCCAAGCCCCTGGTTCTGTGGGAGGAATGAATGGAGAGCAGCAGGGACCCGGGCGGGGCTGGCGCGCAGGGCTCGCCAGGCGGCACAAAGGCAGCGCCGGCGGCACATCCCCGCCGCCCGCCCCGGCGCGAGCGCAGCGCACGGGGCTTGTTGCCCGCAACGACCGGCGCGCGGCCCCGCCGGCAGCGGCCCTCCCAGCCCCTCAGCCCCGCGCCGGTCGGGCGCGGTCGGATCGCCTCACCGGGAGCTATTCCTGCTGTTGGGGTCGACTCCCTTGAAGGTGGTGGTTGTGGTCATGGCGCCGAGAAGCGAGGTAGGCTGGCGCGGGAGCAGAACGCTCAAAGGGTCAGACCCTAGGGGCGCAGGGAAACTCCACACCCAACAGCCGGCCGCCGCTTCAGGAGCCGCCGCCGCCGCCGCCTCCTGTCCGGCGGATCGACGCCTTTATACGGTTTTAAGCGCCGTCCCCCCAATCCGCCGGAATTGGCCGGTTCAAATGGCTCCCTTCGTTCCTATTGGCTCTCTGGAGTGCCATGCACCGTGCGACATTACGATGGGTTGTGGCGGGCAAGGCTCAGCCTAAGCCCGCCCCCTTCCTGGGCAGGGAAGCCTTGGGACACTCTCCCCTCCCCCACTCCAAAATCTCGGCGATGATTGGACAGAAGACGAAACTGCCTCGCGCTGGGTACAAGTCGTGCTGGCTGTCACTTTAAAACGTTACCTGTTCACAGCTCTTTCTTGGGGAGTTACAACCTCGGCAAGCAGAAGGGAGATTTGTCACTATTACCATTCTCACATTGCTTTACTGATGGTGGGATAGTAAGGGCATCCTCCTTAAGGGATGAAAAGTACTGCAACAAGTTGACATTTATTTATTGAAAAGCTACTGTGGGTCCCATTTAGAAACCTAATAGTCTCAAAGCAGCAGCAGTATGAGTCAGCAACAGAGAGCACGCCAAGATGATCCCTTTTAAAAGGACTGGAAATTCTTTACATTTTAATGTTACTGTTTAGCTGTAATGGGTGGTGCATGTACTGGACGAAAATTACAGTCGCTTCTATTTGGGAGCCTATTATAAGGCTGGTTAATGCCTGGCAGCAGGGATGGCTTCATTCCCTGCTACCAAGACTATGGGAGCAGCTCAGTCCTCTGCAGCTGTTTATAACCCTTAAGTCATGACTCTTCCACCTGTCTGGGTAAATCTATCTATGCAACAAATGCGGACACACTTGGAGGGCTCAGGAATGATGGTTTACAAGATCATAATAGGAAAGCCTTGGGCAAAAGAGGGCAGGCAGTTGATAGATAAGCCCTGCTCATGTCTTGCATATTTCCTCAAGGCAGATGTCTTTGTTTGTCTCAATATTTTTATAATAACTGAACTACATTCCTCTTTGCAAAGACACCTTCCAGGTAGTTGGAACTTTGTATTCTGGGCAGTCTAGGTTAACCACTCTCTCCCTGGGCTTTCATGAAAAGGCAGTGAGAGGTTCTCTTCTAGAAAGCATGGGTCTTGCATGTATGTGCTTACCACAACAGCATGAAGCACACCACTTGTGTTAGAATCTTCCCTTTTTTTTTTTCTTTTGTTTTTGTGATGGAGTTTCACTCTTGTTGCCCAGGCTGGAGTGCAATGGCGCTCACTGCAACCTCCGCCTCCCAGGTTCAAGTGATTCTTCTGCCTCAGCCTCTCCAGTAGCTGGAACTACAGCCGCACACCACCGCATCCGGCTAATTTTTGTATTTTTAGTAGAGACAAGGTTTGACCATGTTGGCCAGATTGGTCTCAAACTCCTGACCTCAAGCAGTTCACCCTCCTCAGCCTCCCAAAGTGCTGGCATTACAGGCACGAGCCACTGCGCCTGGCCAAAATCTTCCCATTTTTTTTTTTTCCTTAGATGGAGTTTGGCTCTTTTGCCCAGGCTGGAGTACAATGGCGCAACCTCAGCTCACTGCAACCTCCGCCTCCCAGATTCAAGTGATTCTCCTGCCTCGGCCTCCTAAGTAGCTGGGATTACATTACATTTTCATGTTGTACTTATTTCCTTGCAGTCTGCTAGAAAACAGCTTGGTGTGGCAATGCTGCAATAGACTAGAAGTCAAAAGACCTAAGTTCTGGTTTTGCCCTTTCCCAATATAAGACACTGGTATGTCATTTATGCTCTCAAGCTTCAATTTTCCTATCTATAAAATGGGATTGGCCGGGTGTGGTGGCTCACGCCTATAATCCAAGCACTTTGGAGGCCAAGGTGGGTGGATCACCTGAGGTTGGGAATTCAAGACCAGCCTGACCAACATGGTGAAACCCCATCTTTAAATAAATAAATAAATAAAATAAAATGGGATTGCAGGCTGGGCACAGTGCCCTACGCCTGTAATCCCAGACTTTGGGTGGCTGAGGCTTGTGGATCACAAGGTCAGGAATTCGGAGACCAGCCTGGCCAATATGATGACACCCCGTTTCAACTAAAAATACGAAAATTAGCTGGGCATGGTGGCATGTGCCTGTAGTCCCTGCTGCTCAGGAGGCTGAGGCAGAAGAATCGCTTGAACCCAGGAGACGGAGCTTGCAGTGAGCTAACACACTGCACTCCAGCCTGAGTGACACAGTGAGACACTAACACACACACACACAAGAATGTATATGCTAAACTAAAACTTTCTATTAGAGGTGCCCCATACTAGCTGCACATCAGAATCAGCTATGGGATTTTTGGAGTATACAAATGAATACCAGGTCTCAGCCCAAGATCTACTAAATTGCAATTTCTGGGGTGAGGGTTTAGTCATAGATATCTTTAAAATGTTACACAGGTAATTCTCACTTACAGCTTGAGCTGAGAACCTTTGCTACAAAGGTAAGGAATCAGTCCTTGGAGAATGCTTCTAATCTAATCTGATTTATGAATAAGAGCAAAAGTATGTAAAACAAACAAGTGAGTAAGGCTGTTGGCCTATTTGGCATATTTGTTTAAGTTCTCAAGTTAACAAAAAAAAATCTAACGGCCGGGCGCGGTGGCTCAAGCCTGTAATCCCAGCACTGTGGGAGGCCGAGGCGGGTGGATCACGAGGTCAAGAGATCGAGACCATCCTGGTCAACATGGTGAAACCCCGTCTCTACTAA